CTGAAATAGCAAAACGATGATTTTGGTCAGATATTAGAGAAGTTGAATATTGGGAAATGGAAGTAAACCTCTTCAAATGGAATAAAATATGACATTTCTCTAAAAGAGTTGGTTTACAATGTCATGCTAGACAATTTTTCTTGCCAGAAACTATTTTACACATTTATAAGTCTACCATTCACCCATGCATTGAATATTACTGCTACATCTGGCCTTGTGCTTCTGCTATGTATTTAGTGATTCTTAATAAAATCCAAAGAAAAATTTACAATCTTATCAGCCCTGACCTGGTATGTCAGCTTCAGTCACTTTCCCACTGTCCCAGTGCCTTTTCTATAAATATTTTCATGGTAATTGTTTTGATGAGCTTTCCCCATTTGGTACCTCAACTTTAGGAATTTAATTTCAGTACTAGATTGACAGCAAGGTCTCATCAATTTACAGTTGAAATTGCTAGATGTAGCCATAAGTTCTATGCTAGTAGTTTTTCTCATATTCTTTAACATTCAATAACCCCTTGCATCCTAGTGGCTTTATTGCCTTGCTTGGAGTGAAATGATTTTTTAAAAAAAAAGAAGACTCATCGTTAGTATTATAATCAACAAAGACAAAAAGTAGTGTATATCCATACACAATGTCAGCTTTTATTATGCAACTCAGTGTTTGTTTATCATATTATAAATAAACATATATAATACTTAAATATTTTACTTGGGGTACAAAATTTAATAATTGCAATGAAAACAAAAATTAAAATCAAACAGGATAGAATAATTAATCATTTGGTTTTGTTTTTTTTTGTTTAACAGCACATCAACCTCTGTAGATCATCATAGTGCCAAATCCATTACTTAGTATACTTATTTGTAGGAAAGTTTGTAATTAAATTCTTTAGAGATGAGCTATTGGTTAAAAAGGTTCTGTAGAAAAAAAACTTTTTTTTTATTGTGGCAAATTACATCTTTGTATAAAGACTCACTATTTTATAAAGTCAATGACCTTATTTGGGTTACTTTGTCTAAAAAACTTGTTCAGGTCTTATAGACATTTTCCAGGATATGGTTAAAGTCAGTATAGTATGTACTTGATGGTATATGGCTCTCGGCATGCTGTACATGTTGGAGGTTTCTCATTTTTAAGGAGAAAAGAATAGGTTAGGTTAGTGAGACCAATGCCAAGTCTAGCTAGGACTACCTTCTTCTCATCTTATCTTTCTATATCCAAGAGGCTATGCTCCAATAGTGACAAAATATTTGATAGTTACTATTGTGCAATAGACAGACCACAAACAAAATGTTATATATAATCATCAAAGCCTGATAACATTCAAGCCTAAAAAGCGGCTCATTATATTTACAGAAGGAGGGCTGGAGAGACTTAATATACATAGTCTTATTTTTTTGTTTTACTTCTTTTTTTTATGTAAACTATTATTTTTTTAGTTAGTGTTTGCTGTTTGATTTTAATATGTCCATTTTTTACTGCAATTATTGCATATATACTAGAATTGTTTTTGTGTTTTTGATCATTTCACCCCAAGTAAAGTAATAATACCACTAAGATGTCAGGGGTTAGTGAGAGTGAAAGAGAGTGAGAAAACTTCAGTCAAGAGAAAGGGCAATAAAAGAATAGGATTCATAAAGACAGAAGACGGTGATTGACGTTGCATTAAAAAAAAATTAAGAATGAAGGTGACAGCAAGGCAAGTAACTTGACGAGTTCCACAGGTGAGAAGTGTGAGAAAAGAAACTCTTAGAATAGAATGTATGGTTGCATCTAACTAGTTCAACAGTAAAATGATGAGACATAGTTGCCAATCTCATAGCACACTGAAATCAATACAGTTGATGGTTGATTGAAAGCTATTCTTCAAAAATTATTCCCTCCCCCCCAAACCTTGTTTTTTATTGACCAAGTAATTTAAGTAGTACCAGCAAATAAATTAACCATGGCAGAATGGTTTGTCCAAGTATTCACTGATCCGTTGTTTTCTCTATCAAGAATTATGGCATGTCAGTGATAAGACATTTTAATAAAACAGACTACAGGAAGAAGTAGGTTCATGCCTTTTCCAAGGGCATTTGCACAAAGTAAATATAAACAACCTTAACAGGAATTTCAATTTGGTTTGCGAATTATGCTGGACAATATCCTCACAGCTGAAGAAGAGACTTGAAGCAACAGAAACATGGTTCTACAGAAGAATGTTTACAATACCATAGGCCGAACATGTGAACAACGGCAAAGTTTTAGAGAAAATGGAAACAAAAAGGACAATTAACATCAGGAAGAGAGAGTTGAAATTTCTAGGGCACATAATGAGGAAAGGGAGCTTAGAAAATTTGACACTCACATGACCGGTTGAAGGCAAGATGCACAGAAGAAAGCAACGCATAACCTACCTTGTGAGCTTAAGTAAATGAATGGCAGAACAGGGTTTAGGAGAGATAACAAAAAGACAAAGTTTATTAAGTGCTACAAAGAACAAGAAATTGTGGAGAGCCATGATCACCAACATCCTGAAGGGACACATCACATTTTCATAGAAGTAACAATTTAATTGGCCTTGATCTGGCATCTCGTCTGCAGTCGCTCTCTCACAGATGTGCTGTCACCTCCCTCTGTCTTTTTTACAAATATTTTCATGGAAACTGCTCCCGTGAGTTGCTTTCGCTGGTTCCCAGACTCCATGAATTTAAGCGTTCAACTTGGCTGGCATCTCGCTCTCACCTTTTCACTGTCAAAACTGTTAAATGTAGCTGTCTCTTCTAATAGCTTCATGTCTCACATTTCTCACCTGTGGAACTCCCTCCCTTTTTCCCTGATAACTATAATCTCTAACTATTCAAATGTAATGTCAATCAATATCTCCAGATGCCTTGATCTATCCCCTATCCTTCTCTTCATCCTTTCCTCTATCACTTCTATTTGCTCTCGCTTCAACTCTCTGTAACCCCTTGCATGCTAGTGACTTCCTGCTTTGCTTGTGGTGAAATGCTTAAAAAAAATTACATCATCCAATAAAAGACTTAAAAATTCAGTTAATAATTGAATAATTATATTTCATTCTAAAAATTTTATTTTAATTTTCATGTTATTTAATGAAGGACTTTACGTAAACCAGATACTTTCTACAAAGAAAATTAAAGTGTGTCTTCTATTTTAGAGTTTCAGAACACTTCACATCTTTTAATCTTGCCACCCTGAATTAAATACGTAGATAAATTGTTTATAGGGTTACGAACTGGGGAGGTAAGAGACACCTAAAAATCTTATTTTGACACCAGTGGTCAAAATTTTGGAAAGATATTTGTTTGTACACTTAGAGGGTCCTCTGTATTCCATTTGACACTGTTTGCTTGACCAATACATCAAACATTGTTAAAGTTTAGTTTAAGGCCACAGTTCTGCTATCATCAACTTCACCCTTCTCAAATCTATTGCTGCCACTTTTAATCTACCCATCCTGTTTCCACCCTCCCCAATCACTCCAGAATCAAATACACAACTCCAAGGGCTCTGTGGACTATTTGTTTTAAACTGGCTTTAATTACCCTAGTGGGAGAAACTAAATCTGATTCTGGTGGGGATCGGCAGTTAAAATGTGGGAGATGGGGTTAAGAAATAAAGCATTTGCTGAAGAAAGGTTTGGAAATTGGTTAAACTAATATTTGCTGTTTTAAGGCACTGGAGACATGGATGTTGTGAGAAAAAAGAGAACGGACTTGAGACAAAATTCAGCTGTTGCCTGTGTTTGTATCTCTAAGACCACCACTCTGATGGCAGTGAAAAGGAAGCGAACATCTTTGCTATTGGACATAGACCAGGAATGGTGGGCTGAGAAGTCACCTCGCTAGGTCTCCTTGGCCTCTCAGACACTTGATCTTCCTTTAAATATATCTTTACTGAGAATATCCCTTACTTTTCAAAAATGCTGCTTCTGTAATGGCTTCTCTGCTGGCTTCATTTCAGGCATTTAATCTATTTGTTAAGCTCTTTTTTTTTCTTTTTGTTTTTTTACTAATTCATTCTTGCCACTAATGGCAAAAACAACACAAGGTCTTAATGTATGGACAGTAATAAAACTATTTTCATTTTATGTTTACAAGAGCCCAGGGATAGCAGTTAACACCTGTGAGAGACACTTTTTTTTACTACCACTTCACAAAACACTTTGATATGTAACATTTCATCCAACTCCTTTAAAATAAATAAAAAACACTTTCAAATCATCTACTATAATCTCTTAATGAACTTATATATTAATTTATTTTTGTTTGCATGACTGATAATTGTTTAACATTTTTATCTTTAAGCATTAATGCCCACTATCAGATTATTTGGACATTAACAGGTTAAAGTTAGAAATATATAATTAATACCAGATGTTTATTCTTATTTTTATAATTAATACCAGATGTTTATTCTTATTTTTATAATTAATACCAAATTTTGATTTTGATTTCTATAATTAATAATAGATTTTTATTTTTATAATTAATACCAGATGTTTATTTTTATAATTAATACCTGATGTTTATTTTGATTTCTAAAATTAATAACAGTTTTTGAATTTTATAATACCAGATGTTTATTCGTATTTTTATAATACCAGATGTTTATTTTTATTTTTATAATTGATAGCAGATTTTTATTTTGATTTCTATAATTCATAATAGATTTTTATTTTTATAATACCAAAATTTTATTACGATTTTATAATTAATACAAGATTTTTATTTTTATAAGTAATACCTGAATTTTATTTTTTATTTTTTTAGTACCAGGTTTTTTATTTTTTTATTTTTGTAATTTATACCAGATTTAATGATGGGCATCAATGGTGAATGAAAAATATTTAAATTGCTTGGAAAACTGCAAAAAGCATCTAGATTAGTGCTTTGCTAAGAAAGCTAAGTTTTGGGAGGATGGAAAATGGAAGTTGCCTAATAGTTGAATGAAAAGGTAAATATATTGTTCAACAAAGCTTATGTTAGAAA